ATTATAGAGGGTTTTTTAGTATATAGAAGCAATAAGGTAATATAGTGAAGGGAAGAAAAATAAGAGGTATTAGAGTAAGAAGAATAAAATTTAAATAAAAAAATAAATATTATAAAAAGTATAGTATAAAGTTAATAACTATAAAAATAAATAATATATTATAAAATATTATAAAAGCGAAAAAGGCTTTACGGAAGGTATAGAGGAACTTAAGGTTACTTATATAATTAATATATATACGTATTAAGTCCTCGATCTAACGACTATACGTTTATTTTAGTAGCCTAAAGTAATTAATATCGAGTAATTAGAGAAGGTAGGAGGAGTATAAAAGTATATAGAGCGTAATAATATTATTTTATTAACAGTAACGTTTAAATTTAATCGAATAATAATTTTTATAACCGTCGAGGATTAATACTTATTATTTACTTTTTTATACGAAATACTATATAATAATCGAAATACTTAATTTAATTTAAGCCTATTATATTAATAATTTAACTATTATCGGTAATTATAATACGCTAGGTAAACGGTAGGTTATACTTAGTATATTAGTTAGTAAAGTAGTATTACGCGGCTAAAATAATAAACGCAGGGATAACTTAATTAAAAGTATTAGCTTTTTAAATTACCGTTACCTATTTACAGTTATTAAGCTAGGCTAATTTTGCTTTACTAAAGCCGTTCGAGATAGTAATTACTATACCCGCGAAAATAATACTTATTATAAACCTAGTCTCGTCGTAGTTATAAATATCATTATTTATAATACCGTATAACGAACTTCTATACAAAACCTTTAAAAGGGATATTAGTTAAAAGTAACTTCTAATAATTAATTTAGTATAGCTAAATAGTGTATAATAAGATATTTTAATTATAATAATTAAAATACCACGATTATAATTTATATTATATATTATAGAACTATTTATCTATATTAGCCAGTTCCTCCATATATATAGATTAGTAGACCGTGGACCGTTAACTTATAAACGGTCCTCGGTCTACTCTTAATTGGCCGATATTAGACCGTGGATCGTAAGCCCCGCCGCGGTCCCCGGTCCTTATTTTATTAGTCCGTTTCGTCCGCTTAGACCGTAAGCCCCGCTCGATCGCTCGGTCTAGCCCTAATTGATCGTTATAGCCCTACTGTTTTCTAGAACCGTAAAATAATACTCCCTCTCTAAGCCGAAGCCCTTACGGCCTAGTCTTTTTCTACTATTAATAATATCGTAAGTCTTCCCTCTTTACTTGTCTTTACCTTTATTATATTTAACCGTATATAGAAACGTTATTATAAAACTAAAGAATTTTCTGCCCTTACTTTACAAATCTTTTACTATAGTTCTACCATAATACCGTACTTTACTTATTTTACCTCTAGAATCTCCTATATTAAAGTCTCCGGATTTTCGCGATACGCTAAGTATATACACCGTAAAATTCCATATAACGGTTCTAACGTTAGCTCCGCCCGTAAGTATATTTTTCTTTTCTTTTTATTCCGTAATTAACCGCTCAATAGTAACCCGAACGATAGAAGAGTAGGATAGGCTCGAGCGTAAGGAATAAAAGTTTAAAAATTAATTCTCGTAACTAATTATTAAATTTATTTAAGTAAAATAAATATATTACTTTCTTTATATACGTAAAGAGCGTTTTTTTACGCGGGGTATTTAGGAGGAGGATACCCGGGTAATATAGTCCGTAATTGCGGCTCCGCCTAGTTTTTTACTAGGTGCTCCTACACGGCCGGACGCTGCTTAGGGCACCGTTCCGTAGTTTCTTTACGTTCTGGACCCTTCTTTAAGCCTTAATTAGCTTTCCGACCTTTCTTTCGATTCTAGTATAGCCGGTCCTTCCTTTTTAACTCCGTAGGGTATTACTAATAGCGCGCCTTCTACTTCCTAAAGTAATTAAAACGTATAGTATTATTTATACCTAAGTCTTTTTATACTTTTTAACTTCGTAGTATAGTATATAGTACGCCGGCTACTATAATAAAAATATAGGTTCGATTTCTATCGAAGTTTTTATAAATTTAATAAAATTTAATAGGTTTTTCTAAGTTTAAATATTATTTTGCTCGTTAATAATACCCTTTTAACTTTTTTTTACGATAGTAAAGTGTGACGAACCCCTATATAGAACCTCTAAAAGGGATACGGGTTAAAGGTAACTTTTAATAATTAGTTCGGTGTAGCTAAACAGTATATAATAAGATATTTTAATATAAATATAAGATACTATAAATACAATTGTGAATTATATACTGCGGAACTATTTATAAGCTATTTAGTTCCTCCGTATATATAGACCTATGGATTATCTAGATCGCGTTCCTTAGCGGTAATCCGGATTATATCATTTACTTAAGGCTTACTATAATTACCGTGATCCTGTCGCTCCGTGTGACGAACTTCTATCCAAAACCTCTGAAAAGGATATTGGTTAAAGGTAACTTCTAAATAATCCTAGTTCGGTGCAGCTAAATAGTGTATAACAAATGGCTTATCTCGATCACAATAGCTAAAATACTACGATTGTGACTTGTTATTATATACTGCGGAATTGTCTATTTACATTAGCTAGTTCCTCCGTATATATAGACCTCGTGCTAAGCTATAATTAGTCTTTTAAGACTATTGATTACCTCTGCTTAGTCTACTTAGTGCTCTAAGTATACTAATTATCTCTGCTCAGTCTGCTTAGTGCCCTGAGCACACTAATCACTCGTCCTCTACTGTGATTAGCTCTTTTATATATTTTCCCGATTAGCTCCTGCTCCCGTAGCCCCACAACCCGTCCTGCACTAGGGTTGTGACACTCCGCTTACCGGGATCACTATAAGCTTTTCGCTCCTCTTCCGACTAGTCCGTAATGACTGGCTAGGGGCGCCCCGCGCCCCGTGCGTTAGTTCCTTACTAACGATTGTGACAGGTCTTTATATATATATACCTTTACGTTTTTTATAATATTAATATTATCGATCGTTAATACGGACTATTATTATAATATACTTGTCGATAATCTCCGGTCGTTTTATTCGATATAACTTATCTTTAACTTTTTTTTAAGCCCGTTATAAAATAATTATATTAACCTTTTATTATTAATTATATTATAAAATATATTTATTTTAAATATTATAGTATAGTCGGTAATAAATTAAGTTTATTTAAGGTTAGTTAGTCGTTTTTAGGTACGCTTACCCTCGTCGTATTTTTTTAAATACTTTTTTAATTTTTTTTTTAAAGCCTTTGTACGATTTAAAGTACTTCTTAGTAATATCCTTCCTCTTGTTATACTTATTATCGAAATAGTTTTCTAAAATCGGCTTGAACTAAATAAATACGTTATCCTTAAGCCTAAACGCGGCGTATATTATTTTAAACTCCTTATCCGGGAAACAAAAAGGGTAGTACCGAAAGTAAGCTTTAAATTAGATTAGGAATTTCTTTAGCTCTCCTTTTATACCTCTATAGCGATCGGGTACTTCGAGCTTAGCACGCTCT